TATCGGCACTCCACTCGATGGCCATACTGCAGATACTCCAGGCCGACCTTCTCCGAAAACTGGACGAGGAAGGCCCGGGTGCTATCAACGTGCCGGATTTACGGAGCGCTACAGACCTGGCTCTTCGCGCCGCAAAATCTGCTGCACAGGCTATGGGGCGGACTATGGCTTCTCTAACTGTCGCCGAGAGACATCTATGGTTGACGCTGTCGGAAATGCCGGATACGGAGCGCTCTGTGTTCCTCAACGCGCCCATTTCCCCGACGGGCCTCTTCGGATCTTCCGTCAAAGATTTCGCGGAAAGATTTGTCGAAGTTCAGAAAACGTCACAGGCTTTGAAGCACTTCCTCCCGAAGCGCGCTAGCTCTGCAGCAGGTCGCCCTAAACAGCCGTCTGCTCGAAGCTCTCAGCCAAAGCCTCCGCCCGCCGCCGCTTCACAGCGTCACCAGGCCCGGGATCAGAGACCGCGCTCTCACTCTTCTGGCCGCCGCCCCCCTCCGCGTGGGCCCCGGCCGAGGATTGAGATCAAGCCCGAGGCCTCGAAGTCGTCCTAGCCCTTCTAGGAAAACGACGGTGTTCAAGTCCCGCCGCGGCCAGACTTTCACCGAAACATTTCGCTCGTTCAGTTCCAGGAAATGCGACTGTTCCAGTGTATTCTGCAGTAAACAAGTCGGCAACACGGCCCGCTTGCCTGCACACAAACGCCGTTTTCACGGCGACCCAGATATATCACATAAAGAGTGCAATTTCTGGTGTTCCGGCCACGGCCGATGGTGTTATGAGTGTAATAAAAATGCCCACAACCCAGTGCTCATTTCTACACACAGACACGGGCCGCCACAATGCAGGGCTCGCACAAATAAAATCGGCTCATGTCGATTGTGCAACAAATGTAGTGAATGTGCCCACGACCCAGTGCCCACAAACACTACACAACACATGTCCCACGGTTTCTGTAAAAACGAAACCAACACACATACAGTCAGCCCCGGCCGACGGTGTTTTCAGTGCAGTAAATGTGCCCGCTGTCCCGCGCCCACATTCACTCACAGACATGCTAAGCCCCACGGGGCTCGCCCCGCTCGCTCTTTCTCAGCAGACTGCTATAAGGGAAATGAGCGCGGCCAGGCTGCCCGTCGTGATCGGCGTGCCCCCCGCCTCAGTCACTGCAAACGCAGTATTCACACTACAGCACGCCAGGGCTCCCTTGTTGTCCCTATGTCACGACCAGAGCCCAAATGCCATTCTACCCCTAGCTGTTCATGCACACGCGTGGGCACAGCTTCCCGGGATATCAGAATGGGTGCTGAACATTATAAAAAGAGGCTATTCGCTACAGTTCGCTCGACGCCCCCGCTGTTACACGGCGCGCGTCGAATCCACGGTGAAAACAGAAGTAGCCCATCTACTTCGAGCCGAAATAGCGACACTATTGAGCAAAGGGGCAATACAGCCTTTATCTCAAGCTCAGAGCGAGGGGGGCCTGTACAGCAGATATTTTCTGGTCCCGAAAAAAGACGGGGGTCTCAGACCCATTTTAGATCTAAGACAGCTGAACAGAGCGCTTATGAAACGCCGGTTCAGAATGCTCACAACCAAGAAAATCCTCGCGCAAATTCGCCAAGGGGACTGGTTTATGTCAATAGATCTGAAGGACGCTTACTTCCAGATACAAGTAGCGTTACGTCACAGGCGTTTCTTGAGATTCGCCTTCGAGGGCCAGGCATATCAATACACAGTCCTACCGTTCGGCCTGTCTCTTGCACCCCGTACATTTACAATGTGCATGGACGCGGCTCTCGCACCCCTGAAACTTCGGGGCATGCGAGTTTTGAACTACTTGGACGATTGGCTGATTCTAGCTCGATCTCACTCAGAGCTCATAGAACACAGGGCCATATTACTCGAGCACCTCGAGAATCTGGGTCTCACAGTCAATTGGGCGAAAAGTTCGCTGCTTCCCAGTCAGGAAATAACCTTTCTGGGCACAGAATTGAACTCGCTGTCTATGACAGCGCGACTATCGCCAGAGCGCAGACTGAACATTCAGCGCGCCGCGAAATCCTTCCGGCACTATAGTCCCGCTCAAAAGGTTTCAGAAAATGCTGGGTCTCATGGCCTCAGCATCATCAGTGCTCCAGCTGGGTCTGCTTCGTATGCGCCCACTGCAGTGGTGGCTAAAGGCACGAGTACCTCCTCGAGCCTGGGCCCCAGGTCATTTTCGCCTCAAGGTCGACCAGAAGTGCGTCTCAGCTCTGTTACCTTGGAGAGCGACCGACTGGTACCAGTCAGGTGTAAGCCTGGGGACTTCCTCGAGTGTGCAGGTGGTGTCCATGGACGCCTCCACCTCGGGATGGGGAGCGCTGCACCAAGGCAGACCGTTCTTTGGCCTGTGGTCAGAACGAGAGAAGCTCCTACACATAAACTGTCTGGAAATGATGGCAGTCGACAATGCGCTGAGGCGCTTTTGTCCCCGAATAAAGGGAGACCACGTCTTAGTCCGCTCGGACAATATGTCGGTGGTAGCCTACATAAATCACCAGGGCGGCATTAGATCCCGAAACCTCTTCAGGCTGACGGAACGCCTCCTGGTCTGGGCTCAGCACAATCTGCGCTCACTGAGAGCAGCACATGTGCCTGGTCACCTGAATCTGGGGCCAGACAGACTGTCCAGAAGCAATGTTCCGGCAGGAGAATGGTCTCTGCACCCGCAGACGGTCCTCCTGCTGTGGGAGACATTCGGCAGAGCGCAGATAGACCTATTTGCGTCTCAAGAGAACGCTCACTGTCCGAAGTTTTTCTCCAAGAGCAAGGATGCGCTGGCCCACGCCTGGCCACGCTGCCCGCTCTATGCTTTTCCTCCGATTTCGCTCCTGCCTCAGGTGCTGGAACGAATCAAGGAAAACGGATGCTCAGTGCTCCTTGTGGCTCCGTTCTGGACAAACCAAGCTTGGTTCCCAGTCCTGATGGAACTGAAGAGTGCTGCCCCGTGGCCAATACCAACGAGGAAGGACCTCCTCTCTCAGGCCAAGGGCTCGATTTGGCATCCTCACCCGGAGCTATGGTCCCTGCACGCATGGGCCATCAACGGGTACCTGCAAACCTCCCAGAGGGAGTATTAAACACAATCATGCAGGCCAGGGCGCCGTCCACTAGACGACTCTATGCCGCGAAATGGTCAGTGTTTGCTGGCTGGTGCAGAGCCCGAGGCTTTTCACCCCCAGACTGCGGGATTAGGGAAGTGCTCTCCTTCCTTCAGGGGCTGCTGGATAAGGGTAGAACCCCATCCACGCTTAAAGTTTATGTGGCGGCCATAGCTGCGTTTACAAAACCCGCGACTGGCCAGTCACTGGGGAAAAATGATCTGTTCATCCGCTTCTTAAAAGGAGCTAAGAGACTAAATCCCCCAGACCCCCCTCAGTCCCATTGTGGGACCTTTCCACGGTTCTGGAAGCCATGAAAGGTGCCCCGTTTGAGCCGATCCACCTGTCAAACATGAAACACCTGTCATTCAAGACAGCGTTTCTCATAGCGCTCGCTTCAGTGAAGCGCATAGGGGATCTGCAAGCGCTCTCAGTAAGCGCGACGTGTCTGGAATTTGGGCCAAATGACTCAAAAGTCGTACTCAAACCAAGACACGGATACGTGCCTAAATCCCTCAATACTCCGTTCAGGGCCCAGGTCATTTCCCTGTCCGCCCTGCCGGTTCATAACGAGGAGATGGGCGAGAGCTTCCTTTGCCCAGTCAGGGCATTAAGAGCTTATGTGTCTCGCTCGTCCGTTTTCAGACAGACCGAGCAGCTTTTCGTTTCGTTCAGCGGACGTACTAAGGGACTAGCCGCGTCGAAACAGAGCCTATCCAGATGGGTAGTTGACGCTATAGCACTGGCATACAGGTCAAAAGGCCTTAAATGCCCTTTAGGTGTTAGAGCGCACTCCACGAGAGGCATGGCCTCATCGTGGGCTTGGTCTAGCGGGATTGCCTTACAAGATATCTGTATGGCGGCAGGCTGGGCCTCCCCGTCTACATTTATAAGGTTTTATAACCTAGAGGTTCCCGCCTTACAGGCTAAACTACTGTCGGTATAAAATCAAGTATTTTCTGCCCCACTGCTTCGGCGCAGAATACTACAATCGCTCGAGCACCGCTCGCTGACTGATAAAATTACCCCATGGGCAAAGTAAGACCCATACTGTTACACAGTTCGGGCCGAATTTTCACCCCGACTGTGTGAAACACTTTGACAGTGATTAGCTCCTTTGGATGCTAACTTATTGGGAATGACGCTGTTAGCCTCTCTTCTCAGACTCTCTGTGAGTCCTTGGTGATTGTACATTATATGAGCCCCGGGCACCTGCCCTTGGGACTTTGGTGTTGGATCCCAGCATGCACGGCGTTTTACACTGTGTTCCCCTAGCGTAAGATATTACGCAGTACGAGAGAACCTCTCGTAAGAGAACGTACTCGGTTACTAACGTAACCTCGGTTCTCTCTAGAAGAGGGAACGAGTACTGCGTATTTTGCCGTGCTTGCAACACACTCTGGTTCGCTTCGGCGATGAAAAACCAGTGATATCAGCCCATCGAGCCATATTTATAGGGCTAGGCCACGCCTACTCTGGCGGGAAGGTGACGCAGTGGGCGGGAAGCGCCCCCATTGGACCGTCACCGAAGGGCCTCTCTCGATAGGCTGCTGCAGTTGCAGCAGGACAGCCAATAGGCACGCAAGCCTATGTCTGTATGCTGCCGCAACGCGTTTTACATTAATTCAAAATTAAGGATAATTTTTTGGCTTCAATATCTCGTGGAAAAGAGGTTTTTCCCCTAGCGTAAGATATTACGCAGTACTCGTTCCCTCTTCTAGAGAGAACCGAGGTTACGTTAGTAACCGAGTACGTTATACGTATATATTAATATATAGTTAATTATAAGTTATTTCTTTTTTTTATTCTTTTTTAAAATTATATATATAAAAAGAGAGAGAAACACTGGTGACTTACTCTTTGATGATGGGAACTAGTTGAGTTCCAAGGTTTTGACAGTAAAACCAACGTTCAAACAAGACATCTGTACTATTAACCACAAAGTACCTAAAGCAAAGTAAAAGTAAACCAAATATCACACACATCTTTTATCTTTTATTCCCTGATCTAGCATCCAATAGTATCATGGCTCAGATAAGGTCACAGGAGAATGGCAGACGTAATATAGAATGGATGTGACTGGGAGTAGTATCCCATGGTACCTGAGGCCATCTGTCTCTGAACGAAGCCTCCTCCTCTCCACCACCAGCCCTACTGTGTTTGCCTGTCTCTGAGGGGAGTGGGGAATCCGTGCTGGAAGCAGGAACATCTGAATACAGCAGCAATAAGCAGGCTTTTGAGCATATAAAATGTCTTTATAGACGAAATTGGCTTTTGTTACATGAATTCAGCCTGTCAGACAAATCTGGATTATTCTCACCTCTCCTTCTCGAATATGTACTTCTTTATGCTTGCCGTTTTCTATCACTTTCAAAACCATGTCACCCCTCACCTGGTAAAAGAGCTGAGACACAAAGACAAGTGAAACAGGAAGTTAGAGGAAAATTAGTGTTCTGTGAACTGTAGATAAAAAATATTTTAACCTGTATGCCTTTATTTGAAACAAAGGGGTAAAGTACACAATTATCATGTCTGTAATATCTAGAGAAAATATAGCCATGGCTCAGCTGGATGGTTTGCGCTGACCTCTGGTGATCAAAATTAAAAAATTAACTAAAGAACAGAGTTCTGACTTGCTCACTAAACTAGGTCATTTTTTGAAAGGGACTCAGCTAGAGACAGTTCTATTAAATTCCTGCTATCGTTTGATTTGAAAGCTGGCCACTGTAAAGGTGCTGTAAAAAAAAATGCCATTGAGGAATTTCTCTACTTCCTGAAAGATACGAAGGAATTAGGTGTCATTTACACATTTAAATCTATTCACTTAGCAGATGCTTTTATCCAAAGTGACTTACAAATGAGAAATCATTAGATATTTATTCTACGAAACATAAGAAAAGCTGCAATTTAAAGTTTTAAAATTGCTCAGAGAAGTAGATCAGAGCAGAGATGAAAGTTGAAACGAAGGTTTAAGACATTAGTGAACGAATGAGTTACATTTTTCTATAGAAATAGACAGGATTGTCTTGAGATTTGTCAAAAAAAAAAAAAAATCAATAATAATAATATACAAGTCAGGTGCTCTTTTTGCCACCCTTAAAACTAGCCAATCAGAAATGTTTGTAAATCATTTTGTGTGTTAGGAAATGCTGACATAAGTTTGGCTAATATGTCTTTGAAGGGCGGGGCTTTGGAGAGGTGATGAGTGGGTGAATAGTTAAAGATTACATTTTTTATAATCGCTTTAAATAAAATTCCTATAATCGCTCACAGCACCAACATAACATTACACATAGTGATTTAATATCGCACTTTCAGGGCAATGTTAATATTAAGCAGGTTGTTATGTACTTTACTTTATAGTGGCATTGCCTAAAACTTGTAACTAAATAAAATGAATATTTATATGACACTAAAATATATTAGATACAAACATGCTCTTAAAAGCAGGTTGCATCTTCACATAGACTCTGTCCCCATTAAAAAAAATGCATTTATTCCAAAAGTGTATTTGGAAAACTATTCCAGTCTAGAATAGCAGTAGAACAAGTGCTGCAGAATGTAGTGCACGTTTGTGCTGTAAATCCTGACTAGCAACAATTAACAAGTGGAGAGCAATCAAGCTTCAAAGAAATTATAGAAAATCTGCAAAAATAGCACTATCAATATTCAGATCATCTTTAGTTATGAGTTTTGCCCCCTTGTCCATTTTCTCTTCTGAGTCTCAAGCACTAACCTTTTGTAAATCTCATGGCTAATTCTTATCAACTGTTAGCATTCTCGGTGCAGTGTGATTCCCAAAATGCAGATCAGTTAATCAAGAGATAATCAAGTCAGCTAGTCTTGTCATGTCATGTACATTTGTAATTTAATCTTATTCGGTAGTAAATACCTTTATTAATAAGCACCTTACCTCTTCCCCTTCCTCAATGTGATAATCCTTTCTCACGTTTGGACCACCAACATACATAATATTCAACTGATAAAAGAACCTAAAGAACCATGTAAAGATAGGGGTTATTGTTTGTAAATGTATGTAAAAACAGATTTTTTGTTTGTTGATCAAAGATCATTTCAACTTACATTAATTTGTTGCAAACAGGTGGTGAAAATGAACTTTCATTCTCAGCAATCCATTTGTCAATGTTTACATGAAGAGATTGGTTGGTCATTTTTCTCTCTAATTTGGGAATACAGCAAGATGCTTGAATTAATCTGTCTGGGTAGGCAGCAACTTTTTGAGCAGTGGATCACTACATTAGAGAATTTATGACAAACCTTTGAGTTAATGAGTAATAGGGGTGGTGCTCATGTATAGAGTATGTGACTGTGAGGTTGAAATCCATGTTTACACAGCAGTAACCTTTCAGTGCGGACACTGCAGCATAAACCTGGATTTCAATATAGAGACCATTGTTTTACAGGTTTTTGATATAAATTATGGACATTTGCATTTAAATGACTCAGAACAAAAAGGCTTCCCCATTAGACATTGAAGACCTGACATATGTGAATAAATAAAGTTTTGATTTTGGGCCTAAGATAAGCCAACCCACTACTAAAAATCAATAAACCAAATAGGGCTGTCAATAGATAAAAAAATTTAATCGCGATTAATCGCACACTTAACGTGAAATTAAGCATACACCATTTATCTTGATTAAAACCTAAATTTTGTCATCATTGCTATATCCAACAAAGTAAACCAACAGATTGAAGGGTGATTCTCACCCAACTGTATTTTATGCACGTTTTTTCAAGGTACATTTTTAAAACGGACTGATATAGGACTCATTGATCTGAGCTTATAGTCCAATTGTCCAGTAAGCAAATGCATTCAAACAATCAGTCCAAAACAGCTCTAATGTAAAGCAAGCCCACCGCTGTATGGCCAGGTTATACGCAAACCACGTTTTCCTGCTGGATAAAGCAAACCAGCTTCTCGCTGTAAAGTTTTGGTGGGTGTGAATTGTAATCAAGTTAAAGAGACGTACAGTAAGCACATGTTACTCCGTTATTATTGCTGCGTTATTTTTGTATATTATATACACTCACCGGCCACTTTATTAGGTACCCCATGCTAGTAACGGGTTGGACCCCCTTTTGCCTTCAGAACTGCCTCAATTCTTCGTGGCATAGATTCAACAAGGTGCTGGAAGCATTCCTCAGGGAGTTTGGTCCATATTGACATGATGGCATCACACAGTTGCCGCAGATTTGTCGGCTGCACATCCATGATGCGAATCTCCCGTTCCACCACATCCCAAAGATGCTCTATTGGATTGAGATCTGGTGACTGTGGAGGCCATTTTAGTACAGTGAACTCATTGTCATGTTCAAGAAAACCAATTTGAAATGATTCGAGCTTTGTGCCATGGTGCATTATCCTGCTGGAAGTAGCCATCAGAGGATGGGTACATGGTGGCCATAAAGGGATGGACATGGTCAGAAACAATGCTCAGGTAGGCCGTGGCATTTAAACGATGCCCAATTGGCACTAAGGGGCCTAAAGTGTGCCAAGAAAACATCCCCCACACCATTACACCACCACCACCAGCCTGCTCAGTGGTAACAAGGCATGATGGATCCATGTTCTCATTCTGTTTACGCCAAATTCTGACTCTACCATCTGAATGTCTCAACAGAAATCGAGACTCATCAGACCAGGCAACATTTTTCCAGTCTTCAACTGTCCAATTTTGGTGAGCTCTTGCAAATTGTAGCCTCTTTTTCCTATTTGTAGTGAAGATGAGTGGTACCCGGTGGGGTCTTCTGCTGTTGTAGCCCATCTGCCTCAAAGTTCGACGTACTGTGCGTTCAGAGATGCTCTTCTGCCCACCTTGGTTGTAACGGGTGGTTATTTGAGTCACTGTTGCCCTTCTATCAGCTCGAACCAGTCTGGCCATTCTCCTCTGACCTCTGGCATCAACAAGGCATTTCCGCCCACAGAACTGCCTCTCACTGGATGTATTTTCTTTTTCGGACCATTCTCTGTAAACCCTAGAGATGGTTGTGCGTGAAAATCCCAGTAGATTAGCAGTTTCTGAAATACTCAGACCAGCCCTTCTGGCACCAACAATCATGCCACGTTCAAAGTCACTCAAATCACCTTTCTTCCCCATACTGATGCTCGGTTTGAACTGCAGGAGATTGTCTTGACCATGTCTACATGCCTAAATGCACTGAGTTGCCGCCATGTGATTGGCTGCTTAGAAATTAAGTGTTAACGAGCAGTTGGACAGGTGTACCTAATAAAGTGGCCGGTGAGTGTATATATATATTAGTGCTGTTAATCGATTAATTTTTTCTACTCGATTAATCACAAATTTGTTGTGATTAATCACGATTAATCACAATTTATTTCTTACTATTTATCTTTATCTAATATAGTTTCACTGTAAATGATTTCTGTTGTTTTCACAGTAATATTACTGTATTCTCAACAATTCCCTACTGTAGAATCTGAATACCAGTGTAGATTTTGTCATTTTCACAGCATTATTACTGTCTGCATGACGTTTTCTTCTAGGATGTCCTGATCTTTCAATGAATCTATCTTGCCTTCCACATGGTGTGCAGGTTTCCTGTGCCAGAGGATGCAAAGCAGCCCCAGAGCATCACCGAGCCACCACCATGCTTAACTAGGCAGAGTGTTCTTTTCAGCATATGCTTCATTCTTCTTCCTCCAGACATAACGCTGATCCATAGGGCCGGAAAGTTTTGTTTCATCGCTCAACAGAACAGAATCCAACATGACATCATGACTTTGCGTAAACATACACGCCACTTTCAAGTCAAGTGGCGTGTTATCTATACGCATTTTGAGCTATCCGCGTGTATGTCCACGCCGAAACGAACCGTCATCTTTTGCGTGTATGTGTACGAGCGAAACGAAGCAAAATTCATATCTACATCTGTGGAGCAATATTTTTTTTCCTAGGATGGTAGGGGAACACTCATAAATGGTTTTAACCCCCGTGACGGGTAGGTTTAGGGACGGGGTTGGGGTAGGTCATATATTTATATACAGTAATATACATAGACTGTAAAAAATGGTAATATAACGTTAAATCAACGGCGTTGATAGACACGCTGAAAAGCGATTATGCGTGTTGATAGCACGCCAAAAATGGAAATACGAATTGGCGTGTCATGCATACGCCATTTCATGAGATCAGTCTGACAGAATCCCAAAACTAATGTGGCTTATTTATATGATTTTGAGAGACTTTTCTTGTGGTTTTGGGTCAGTAGTGGTGTACGCCTTGGAGTTCTGGCATGGAGTTCTTCACCTTCTGAAGTGAAAGCGATGCGTTCGTGTAAGAAAAATATCCATATTTAAAACTTGTTCCACCAAGGCTTGGTTGCAGAAGAAGTCCTGGAAGATTCTACAGTGGCCATTACAATCACCTGACTTGAACCCCATAGAAAATCTCTGGTGGGATTTGAAGAAGGCGGTTGCAGCATGCAAACCCAAGAATATTACTGAACTGGAGGCCATTGCTCATGGGGAATGGGCTAAGATTCCTCAAAAACGCTGTCTGGTTTTACATCTCGTTTGCAGCAAGTCATAACAGCAAAAGGGTTTTCTACTAAGTACTAAAAATGCTCTAGTACTTAGTTTATGTCAAGTTTAGGCTTAGAACCAGGGTGAAGTACTTAAACATCAGTGCTATTCACCTTTCATTACCCTCTGATTTTAGGGAAAAGTTATGGGTAGGGTTAGGTTTTAGGGGTAGGGATTGGGTAAGGACTATATTTTGGGACAGGAATGTTGATCCAGGATCAACAAAATATGTTGATCCAGGACCATGTCTTACTTGGCAAAATCACAGTGACCCCATAAAGGGGTTGAATATTTTTGAGACTGCAGAAGTCATTAAAAGTTGCATTTTCAGTTGGATTTAGGGAAACCACTTGAAACATTTGTTGTGTTTAGCTATTTCAATTACTTTTATATATATTTTTACTTTTATATAGATATTAGGGCTGTCAACGTTAAAGCGTTAACGCATGCGATGCATTTTTGTCCCGTTTAACGCGTTAAAATATTTTATGCAATTTAAGCAAACTGACGCACAAGGTAATGACAAACGCGATTGCCCAGCCCTGTTTGTTTGAACCGCAAGAGGCGTCAATTGCCGTCATTACGTTGTGAGTCAAGTTCAAGGGTTACTCTTTTGGCGTAAATCGATGCGTACGGCCGTCTGCCGGAAATATCCATATTTAAACTTTATGGACTAAAATAACTATTTTAGTCCACAAAGTTTTAAATATGTATATTTTTCTTGCACGAACACATCGCTTCACTTCAGAAGGCCTTTATTAACCCCCGGAGATGCGTGGAGCACTTTAATCATGAATAGATGCGCATTGATGGGCTTTCTAAAGACATATAGCCATTCAATGGGATTATAAAGCTTGGAAGAGGAGATTTTTAAATATAACTCCGATTGTATTCGTCTGAAAGAAGAATGTCATATATACCCAGGATGACTTCAGGATGATTAAATCATGGGCTAATTAAAATTTTTGGGTGAACTATCCCTTTAACTTTGGACTTGGAATATGCTTCCAACGATGTAATTTAGTGTCATTTAGGAACATTTAGTGCCTTCACTATCTTTTTGTATCCTGTTCCTTGTTTGTGAAGGCCGATAATATCTTCTCTTAACTTTTTGGATGACCATTCTTTTGACTTAGTCATATTTCTAACATGCAGTCAATCGTGACACTCAACAAACCTAGCCTGTTCAGATATTTCATGCGTTCTAGCTCAGGCACACCTGATGCAACTAAACAAGGGCATGTGACAACATCTGTTTTGCAGATTTTTGCTGTTGTGAGGGATTCTATTCGGGTGGTTGAATAATTTTGAGACTGCAGAAGTCATTAAAAGTTGCATTTTCAGTTGAATTTGGGAAAACCACTTGAAACATTTGTTGTGTTGAGCTATTTCAATTACCTTTGTTTGATTTGTTCATTGCAAACAGCTTAAAGTCTGTAAATTTTCCCAATAAACCTGATTTGCAATGGGGGTTGAATAATTTCGATTAAATCTATATGTACATATACAGCAGCTCCAAGAAGAACATCATGTGTTGTTGTCACGTTTTCAATGTGTTTAGTTCAGTTTTGTGATCTGATTTCCCCCTGTCTTTGTGATTTTGGTTTAGTCCTGTTAGTTTTCCCGCTCTGTCTGATTAGTAATTCCCTTCACCTGTGTTCAGTTAATTATCCTATTAGTCCCTGTTCAT